AATCACAGCACGCGTTTATTTTTTAGAGACAAAAACCCTTTGTTAGTTCTTGCTACTTTCCATGAGCAACTCACTTGCTGTATTGCCAACATGAGATTGGTCTAAAAGGATCAAGGTTTTCTGCCCCTGTCCCATAGACTTTTCTAGAATCCATACCAAGCCCCTTCCTCAGCTAAAACACAATGTTAGCTCACAGGCACTTTGCTGATCCACAGGGGCCTGGAGGTAGCAATGTGTGGAATCAGACAAATATCTGTACAGTGTCTGCAGCCATGTAAGATCAGGGAAGGCAGGCACTCCTTTAGGGTCTTACTAAAGGAGTAAAAGATGCAAAAATCCTTCAGAGTTCCTTTTTTAAGTAAATGATGCAGAAGAGACCAACATACTCTGAGATTTCCCCCGCAAATGACTGACAAACCCTCCCTGTAACAAGGTGATATTAAGATACAGAAAACCATCATTAACATCAAAGAATTTTGGGCATATTTCCCTGCTTCCAAAGTCCCTAAAACAATAAAAGCCCCAGAGATCATGTGGTGACTTCTGTGTTTTATACCCATCCAGTGAGTTCTCACCCTTTATCTCCCCCTTACAAACTAGCCAGAGTAATGCAGATTTTTAATAAAGAAGTGAGGAGGTGAAATTAAAGAACAGTGGTTCATTGTATCCATTTCCTTATAGAATCTCAGGGGAGGGAGTGACTTTAATGAAGACCAAGGATGACTCCTGAAACTGAAGCACCCTTTTAAGGTGCTGCACCTTAAGGAAGGTGATCTTTTCTTGCACCTCTCCAAAAGTCCAGGTCGATTTAGCAAACCAGAAGAGAAAAAAAAAAATTTGATTATATTTCTGTGACTCACACCGCAAGCAGGAAAAGTCTGTACTAAAATTCAGCAGCACAGTCAGAAGAGCTGTTCTGCACATCTGCAGCTAACCCAGATCCTTCTGACCATCCCTTGGGCCAGCCCTCACGTAGCCACCCACAACAAGCAGAGATGATTGATTTGTTATCTTGTATTGCTGTGATCCTCTACCTCTTCTCCCAAGGGTCATCTGTTACACGCTCGGGCAACTTGTATACAAACAGCTTTGGGTATTTTTTCCTCATAACAGAGCAATGTCTTCTCTACTGTATTAGCTTTTCTTCACTGCTTCTCTGGAGCTGTGTCAGGGCAGAAAATTGTATCAACTGATAATACATTTAAAGCAGTCTATTTTTTAAATTCTAGCACTGCCTTAATAAACATCATGAAATTTTAGGAGAAGTTTTTTAACTTAATCAAAAGACTCTCTCTTAAATCATCTGCAGGGCTTCAGAGGCAGTGAGTTTTGTCTTCAGCTGTTGTCTTGTTTCAGAAACAGATCTGGAAAAGCTGAATGCTCATTTCATCTTTCTAAGTCAACCATAAAATGCACCTGGAAGGAAAACACTTTTCAGATGATTTTAAATGCTGTTTCAAGAGATCTCTGGTGCCAATTCAACAGTTTGCTGCCAAACTCATAAGGTCACGTACAAGGCATCTGTTAACAGAGTGAAACTGATGTGGAATGTCAAGGGTTTTTTTATTTCTTTATAAAATAAAAAGCAGTAGGAGTAACTTTTGAGTCATTATTAAAGAACTCCCAATTCTAGTATAATACAAAAACACAGTGATACAAGTGACTACAAGACAAGATACTACAGGCTTGTGTAACATGACAGGAAAAATTGTTTCCATGTCATAATCACTAAACAATGGAAAAAAGTTTGGCTAAAACTCCAGGAAAATTAACACGCAAAGAGAAGAGAAGGGAAGACAGAATGAAGTCCCAGGAGGCAGCACACAGAAGTAAACAAAATTCAGAAGATGAGAACAGCAACAAGCCACTGATAGGAATTTTTTCTCTTCTGTATTCTTTGGATATATCCTAATGGAAAAGAGATTTATTTAGATGAGTTTCTCCCCTCTTCTCTAAACATCTAGAACATTGCTCTGGGTGTTTCCAGATCCAGGCTACAGAGGTGGTTTTTGGATCTGCCAGAGAGCTCAGACAGATTTTATCTGCAGGAAGAACAGGCATTTGCCATCTGCACTGAGAAGCACAAGAAGAAACTGAGGTGGTCTTACGTCCACCAGGAGTACAAGATCCTTGTTAGGACACAGATCAATTTACATTCCAGGAACTGGCAACATGAGAGAGAGAGTTTCACCCCAAAAAGTTAGTCCAAGACAGTCCTAAGAAGCAATTTTCTAGTTACCTCTGCTGCTTAGAAAATGTTTATATTATTCAAAAGTGACAGAGTAATAACTCCAAACATGAAAACCCATACTTTATGTCTCCAGAAGTGCTTGTAACTTTCAAGCATTTGTCTCCTCATTTTGTTGCCAATTAAGAGACTACTATTGCAGAAGAGTTGTTTACGATAGTCCAGCAGTGTCACTGTCAACAACGAAAAGCCATGCTCAAGAGTCATCCAGGACAACTGGCTGCACAAAAAGCCTAACAGGAAAAGCCAAGCAGTCAAGCTGACAAAATCACTTCTACCACTCCACAGCATCCACAAAACATGGCATTATGACTGACAAGTTTAATTTAACTGAAGCCATAAAGAGGCCACCTGAGGGAGAAAGAATGTTGGATTTTGCCAGTTAGCAGCACAAGACAAGTCATTGTGATCAGATCTATAGTCGATGTGGGGTCACACCTGCAACCACCCACACCTCTCACAACAAAAAGCATCAGCTGCGCTACTCACTGCCTTCCAAAGGGCACAAATGCACAGAAGTAATTAACTCCAAAATTACTACCAGGAATTAAATCTCACAAAAATAAAGTTCTGGTGTCTAGTTTTTAGTAGTGGAATAAATGATTTCAAAATTTCATCAGACACACGGAAACTGGAGAAAGAACTGTGACCGGCCAGTCATCAGGCACTTTTCAAGTTTAATCTTGTCAGAAATCACAATAACCTAACCTCATCTCCTCCTAAACAGAGAAGCTTCTAGGACTGCTCCCCCTGCTTCCCTGAGACAAGAAGGGTATTTGCAGTTCGACTAGGAGCATGCTCTTCTTCCGTCCTCACAAAGTTTTTCTTCTCAATTCCTAATGTATAGGAACTCTTCTAATTCTTGCAAGCGTATAAATGACAGCAAGCTGCCCTTAGGAACACAACCTGGATGCAAACTATTACCAAGTCATCCTCAGTGCTTTCATTGTTTTAAATCACTGCAACCCATTTTTGACTAATGTCTTTGCCAACAACCTCTGTACCAGCAGTGTACACCCTCCACCCCGAAAGAAAAACAAGCCAAAACTATCGGCCCACTGAATTAAGCACATAAGCCACGAGCAGCTTTGCAAGTAGAAACCACAGTCAAGCAGGTGAAGCTCACTTTATAGAAAACATTAGGTAATTGGGACTCTACTCTGTCCTCCACCCACCCCAACTCTTTCATCCCATTCGGTTGTGCAACAGCATTTAAAACAAGGAACGCTATCTCAGGTTCAGGTCAATAATTACGCAGCGCAAATGGCACCGTTACCTCTGTTGTACAGTGTCGGGCTTGGAGAGCCAGGCAAAACTCCTGAAATGTACCGGTTTTCATGACGTTTACACTCAAACACGTGAAAAGGCAGAAATAAAACAAAGGTGCCTGAAACGGGCTGTCTCCAGCACAGATAAAACCTGGCGGGCGGCCGGGTCCGCTCCGAGGGCTAAAGTGCCCGCAAGGGCCCGGCGGGCAGCTCGGCGGGTCCGAGCTCTCACAAGGGGCCAGGGGGGTTACTTAAGGTTACCATGCCCCTCTTCGCCGGCCGCAGAGGGCATTTTATCGTACTGCGGATCGCCCCGGCCGCTTCCAGCCCTGCCCTGGCGCAGCGCGTCCCGCGGGGAGGGGCGGGGTAGGGACCAGGGGTGCCGCCATTTTGTCCCGGGGGCCGGCGGGGCGCGAGACGCGGGGCGGAGCCGCCCCCCACCACCCCCGCGGGGTGGCCCCGTCCTGCCCGCGTTCAGTCCCGCACCCCCCACCGGCCCGTACCCCGCACCGCCGGCCGACCTCATCCCGCACGCCCAGCCCATCCCGCACGCCCAGCCCAGCCCAGCCCAGCTGTGCCGTGCCCCGCACCCCCGGCTGGCCGTACCCCGCACAGCGCTGTTCTGCCCCGGCCCCATCGCTCCTGCTCCCACGCCACACCGCGCACGCGCAGCGCCGCTCCGCGCACGCGCACCTCCCGCCAAGATGGCGGCGGGGCCGCCCCGTAAAGACAAGGAGGTCGGGGAGGGTCGGTGGGGGTACGGCGTCGCGGACAGAGGGAGGGAGGAGCGAACGAGAGCTATCGCTGGCCTGATGCCCAGAACAGCGCCCCCAGTGAGGCCTCGGCAGCTGTAAAATGGGTGTTGGGCACCACTGTGCGTCCTGAGCGGACACAGGCTCACCGCAGCCTCGCGTTCCCTCTGCTACTGATGCTGTGAGTTCGCAGCAGCTCTGCGAACCACTTAGGACAGATCGCCCTGTGAGCCCTCTCCAGTGGAGAGGTGAGCTAAAGAGTGACCTCCTCCCAGCAATAGCCACCTCGAACCTCACAAGCTTGGGTATTGATGTGAGAATTACTAGTCTTTACTTTAAAAACTTATTATCGGAGTTCTGTACCTGATTAGGGACTTGCCAGTCTGGGAACTAGTTTATGGTTGGACTCGATCTTAGAGGTCTCTTCCAACCTTCATGATTCTATGACCTACTCAAAGTGAGAGCAATGTGAGAGCAATAATTCTGGTTACCCGCAGACCCCCGTTGTTCTCCCCCCGCACCCCGCAGCCCCGCGGGCGGGACGGGCCCGGCCGAGCCGCTCGCACCGCCGGCCGCTAGGGGGCGCGCACCGCTCTCCCCGCGGACTGCGCTTCCCGGCGCCCCCCGCGCTGGCCGGGGCTGCGCAGGCGCAGGCGGACACAAAGGGCTCGGCGAGAGCGCGCACGCCCCGCCCCTCCCCGGCCGCGCGCTCGCCCCGCCTCCCCCCGGCCGCGCGCTCCCGCCGCGCGCTCCCGCCCCGCGCTCCCATGGCGCTGAAGCGGATACAGAAAGTGAGTGGGGCCGAGCCGCGGGAGGTGGCGGCTCCCCGCCCTGGGGGAGCCCTCGGAACCGTCCCGTTGTTGCCGGGGGTTGGCGGCGGCGGCCGGGCAGGGCCGGGCCGGGCTCGGCTCGGCTCAGCGAGAGGCGTCGCGGCAGCTGCTGCCCCGCACTGTCTCCGCCGGGACCCGTCCTTCCCTGTCCGTCGCCGGCAGCCGGCGAGGGGGAGCGGGCGTGAGGCCTCTCGTCGGCCTCCTCAAAGGCCCCGCACCCCGAGTCGGTGCTTTACCCTGGCGTTCAGGGGCCGCCCGCGGTGCCCCGAGCGGGGGAGGCCGAGGCGGTGCTGAGGGGGTGCCCTCAGCAGAGGTGCGGGGATATCTCTCGCCCAGGCGCTGGGCTCCCTTTGTGCGCGCTTTGGTCAGCCCTGTGCCCAAGTTGTTTCCCAGGTTAGGCAGTGCTGTCAGCACAGTGTTTGCTATGACGTTGGAATGTATCTCAGCTGTAGTGGTTTGGGCTGATATTTTAAAATGGCCAGGTTCAAGCTGTGGAGCGAGTTCCTAGTTTCCTTTTGTTTTGCAAGGCCGAGCTGGTCGCTGTTCAGTGCAGACAAAAAGAGCACCGCGGGTGGCCAGCACAGGAGTGGAGTTAAGGTTAGTGCTGTGGCCGTGATAAAAGAATCCGTGGTGTTTGGTTGCTGTCGATGTGCCATGTTTAGTCGGCATTGGTGCTATCCTGGTTCTGTGACATTCCTCCAGTTTCTTGTTCAGGATTCCCTTTTGCTCCTGGAAGCCATTGGTATTGCAGAAGTAGGATTCTATAGTGACTGGTTAACCCCACAGCAAGCAGATTTAGGACACCCTACAGTAGGTACCAAGTCACTTGGATGGATTTCTACCAGAAGTTGGTAGTCATAACTCGAGCTACAAAGCTTACACCTTTACGGGTAGTGCAATTAAGGGAGATTTTTGTTACTTCCTGTCACTTGTTGAGAACGTTCCATTTGACCATTATATCAAATATTAATAAATAACTACAGTGATTTTCTCTAGCAGTAACTCTGTCATGCTTCTACTTATTATGGGAATGGTCTACCATTTGTTGCCATTTTAATTTCCTACCTCTGTTCTGAATACCATCTCTTTCCACTTCTTGTTCAGTTTCATTCTTCTGAGGTAAATAGACAAAAGACAGTCTGATAATCTGGTATTTTTGAGCTGGAGTGGTTGTTTGTGGCTTTCCATACGAGGTCCTGCTAGAATAGGATTGTTCTTCATACTTTTATGATGTTCCCTGTGTAATTTTTCTTTCTGCTTTAAAGACCTCCATATGATTTGGAAACCCACAATTTTCTTTAGTGTGGCGTTTAAGAACTTTGCATTTGATAGATGTTAAATTATGGTTAGACTGTTTATGAAAGTATCTTTCATCCTGTTAGCCTTATTAGATTCTGTTTCTACTCTTTCAAAATGAAGCAATGCTTTCCAACGTGCTGACTGCAAGGTAGTATGAGATTTCCTGGTTATGCAATAACTTCTGCACAAAACATGAAGAGATACCAGGTAAGGACCTCCCAGAAGAGTAGAGATTAAATTCAGAGCTAGTTACTGCTTACTTCTAGTTTGCTGCAGAATTGACTGCTGCTGGTTTTCTTTTTTTTTTTCATTAACTACCCTCATCACTCTCTGCTGCCTTTCCAGGGGAAGAAGAAAGTTCTACTAGAGGGATTTGGCCACCAGCCTGTCTCTGGAGCACTAGAAGAGGAGAGAGAGTGGCAAGGAAATAGGATTGTTTCAAATAGAAAGTTAAAATGAAGGGGAGACGTTCAAAAAGGCAAACTGTTTTGGTGTCCCTGTAATAAATAGAGCTTTCCTGAAAATCACGAAACTGGAAGTTTAATGCTAGATGAAATGTTGATCCTGTCTGACTTCCTGATGTTTCAGACTGGCTATAAAGGCTGATAGCTATGTTGTGTCCTAAGGGGTAGGAAGGGATAAGATCTGGAGTGGAGGAAATGCTGTAAGAACTTCATAGTTTCACAGAGTGCCTAGAGAAATTCTTTGGAGAACAAAGTGCTGTTAGAAAACAGTGGTGTTGCTTGGGAGCTTGTCAGTCTAGACATACTGTCTGAAGTTAAGCTTGGGTGGATTTAGGGTGGTGCAGAATTGTGATTTTGGTGGCAAGCCTGATTGTTTGTTCACAGTAATTTTAATAATTTATGTGTTCAGTATGATAACACCTACAGAGGAGGCAAAGCTGTAATATGCAGACATGTTAGTAAGCATATTTTTTCTCATACTGGTGGGGATTCTGATTTCTAAATCGTTTTGCCACTGGGATCTGTTTCTTTGCATCCTGCCATTGGTTGATCAGTCTTGAATGACTCCTCAAAGGAGGACAGCATATGGACTTAAGACTATACATTAGACATAGAATGACGTATTTCACTTGGGAACTTCCTTAAAAAGTGGGCAAGCTGATAACTGCACATGGAAGGATGTTGATCTTAGTCCTGCAGGTGGAAGAACAATGAGGACATGAAGCCTTGCTCTGCAGGCACAGCCATCAGTGCTGCCTCCATGACAAATTCATCTTGGACTTCCTCAGAGAAGCTTAGGTTGGGGGATTCTTACTCATCTTAAGCTGAGGAACCTGAGTTCATTTACCTTGTCAGTGCTTTGTTTTACCATTGCATTAGAGAGGCACTGTATTTCTACACTGTATTTCTACACTGTGCTGTGTGTGATGTAGAATAGATGTTCCTTGGAGCAGGAGTTGCTTCTCTGTAGTCTGTGACGCACCATTGAAAGAATAATGCATGGTTTTGTGGGCATTTTAAACTCCAGATGTTGCAAATGACGAAAACAAAACAAATTGTGTCGGCTTTAGTTGGGAAGGGGTATTGTGCAAAGAAGCCTTTATTCTTCCCACCTCTGGAAATTGAGACTCCATGGCTTTTGTGTGAGGTAGAAAATAATTCAGGCTGTCAGGTTATGCAAGTTAGTGTGTAGGGCTGTTCTGCCCATCTGTCTTATGCAGAGCCTTTTTTTGGGGGTTCCTGTTCTGAATTCTTTGTTCGTGCACCTAATTGTGCAGTTTGTTGTCCTGTCAGTTCCATATCACGGTTGAGGAGATTGTTTTCATCATAAGTCCTGTACCTGGGTACTCCTCCAGTGTTAATGGGCAGTTGATGTTGTGCTTGTTAATGCTCAGGCTGGCTTGCAATACTTACAAAACAAGTACATATGTACTTTTGTAACAGGCATAAAAAAATTGGATTTAAGGAGAGTTTGGAAGAGATTTAGAAGCGATAGATTTGAAGACTGGTTTAAAAATAGCTGTTGTTTTATCGTATTGGTACATACTGCTTGATTGTTTTTCTCCTACAACTCAGTAAGAACAGAAGCATTCAAACATTTAGTTAAATATATCTGCTTCAAAGTGTGTTTCATAGATGTGTAGGCTAACAGGACATATGGACTTGAAAATTGATGTTGAAAATACCTTTTGCTATTGTAAATTGACTCAAAATTTATTGATATTTGTGGTTTAGATTTTTATTTTAAACATGCTGGTTTTAGATGGTAATAAGCATACTGAGACAACTTTTTTGGCTGTAACATAACGTGTTTTAATTTGCTTTCAAAATATCAGCTGTGATATCACAGCAACATTGTTTTTTGCATGTATGGAAATAGAATATGTACTTTATTACTGACTAACAATTATATCAATAAATGTTCTGATAAATATGTGCTCTACATTTACCAAATTTATGAAGAACAGAGAATTCTTTAAGTAGTCTTAAGTGTGACCACTGTGGAGCTTTTTGTGGAACAGATGGTTCCAAGCAGTGGTGTATGCATGGAGTTGGTAGGAAATGAGTCTGTGGTCTACAGTGCATTTTGTGCAAGAAATGAAGAACATAGCTGACAAAGATAAACCTCTGTATTTTAAATAATGGTGTGGCAAAAGGTTCTGGTTGTGGTTTTGTGTTGATTAGAGAATGAAAATAGCTTTTAGTGATGCTGTGTGCAGTTTATTTTGGGCTTCTGATAATCTGCAGTCTTTTTTCTGATTATTTTAAACTGAAAAAAAAGACACTTCTAGGGGGTTTTTTTGTTGTTTTTGCTACTCATGCTCATAGTCACTGAGTATCCCTGAGTACTATGTGGAAAAGATTTATCTCCTTGTTACCAAAGTATCCTTTACAATGTTGTTCTAGTAGCTTTTTGGGAGAGAAGCCTGGCTGCTAATCAAGAATGTCAGTGTTAAATTGCCCTTGCAGTCTTCAACTTTATACTTTTATGAAATACATCCTGTATTATTCTTTGACCATGAATATTAGTCTGCACAGTCAGAAATGTCTCCAGCATTTATAGCATACTGTAGCTTGTGTTTCACAGCTGCTAAACTTGAATCTTAAATTTTTGTCTCATGCTGCTACAGGGGTGTTTTGGAGTGTGTGTGGTGCAAGGAAAGGTGATAATTTGGAAGCTTTGTGGTGTCCATCTCCAGGAGTATTCTAGTCAATAGTATTCTATTCTACCGTGTACTATTTTGTATGTTTGAGAGGACTAGAAGACTTATTCCTTCAAGTTCCCAGCTTAGCTATTTTTCTCTGTATAGTTTATCCTGGCTGTTCTGGGACAGTGTAGTGAGTGTGTCTTAGAGCTCTTGACAGATGCTTTTATGCTGTGATACTCACCAGTGTTTGAAATAACTGATACTTCTGATGCATCTCCTGCAGGCAGAATTTAGGGTTTGTGTATTCTGATAAAACATGTTGCACCAGTGTACACTGTAATTCACTTTCTCTTCTGAAAGTGAATCTGCACTGCTTTGAGCTATAGATCCCGTTTGTTAGTGTGTACATCAAAGTCTTGCACCAGCATTTTCTATACTAGTGCCTAAAAATATTCATGTAGACCAGGCCTTGAAGTGACAAGACCTGCATCATGCAGCTACATGATGATAATCCATAAAGTATGGACAAAGCTGCTCTAAGCAATTAACTTAAAATTACAGGGGGATCTCTAGTGTTGACTGTGTAGTGCCTCCCATGAAGTTCTCTTGCCTTTCTTGGTGAGGTTTCAGCACATTAAGCTTTGTAAACCTTCAGCCTTGTCCCTTGACAAAACAAAGTTTTGGTGTTCTTGTGAAGAGCATTTTTGAGACATTGAATAAAAGAATTCCCTATACAAATAATTCTTTTGTGAATATGTGAAGTTGTGAAGCAGTTTTTTACATCTACTTTAGAGAGTCCACACACTTGTTCTGCAGTGTTCAATTCTGGGCACTGACAAGTCAGTTTGATTCAGGGGCATTCTGTCTCCTTGCATCATTTCAAAAGGCGTAGGGAAGCTTGAAGCCTAAATCTTAGATGATTTTGATTTGATTCTGAAGCTTAAACAGCATTATTAACAATATAAAGCCGAGTAGTTATTTTTTATCACAGCTTGATCTGGAATTTCTGAATGTAAGGATTCAAACTCTTCATATGGTCCATTGCAATTTGCAAATTTGATCATATTACCACTTGTATTTTTAAACCACATTAGCTTCAGTATGTAATTTCATATGGTTGCAAAATAAGGCTTGAATTTGCACTATGAAGGTTTTGAACTTTGCTCTGGCTTTGCTTCCTAGCTGCAGAAGGTCTCTGAATGTATTTGTGAACATTGCTCTCATTTAGTGAAGTTGGTTGAAGAGACTTTTCTTCATTGTTATTAGGAAACGTTAATAACAGGAGTTGATAGTTCTAGGTCTCATCAAGGTATGATTAAAAATGGGTTTTTTTTATCATGAACAAATTTCAGTGCCTTTAGCCTGAACAAATTGAAAGTGTATGCCAGAGAAGCCTTCCCCAGTTCTGCCAATTCTGAAGTACACATGTATATCTGAAAGAAAACCAATTTGTGTAGGTTTGGAGGTATGTAAAGATCTCAAGGAAAACATTTAGCAAATGAGAGTGCTGTTACAGACTTGGGACTCTAAAATTAAAAGTACTTGCCTGGATGTTTGCATCTGTGTAGAGAATGTTTGCATATACTTTAGAGACTTTCTGATGACTTTAAGCTACATATTTTTCCCCATCATTGCCTTGAATCTAGTGTTCAACAATGACCATTATAAAATGCATGGTTTGTAGTCTGAGTTCTCTGTTTTGGCTGACAGTTCCGTGTAGCTGTTTGATTTTTTTTTTAATTTATTTTTTTACCTTTTTTTTTTTTAGTGCGTATGCAAGACTTCATCTTCTCTTGTTAGGTTATATCTTGAGTTGCAAATTAGAGAAGACAGTGGCTGCAACAGCTCTGCTGCTGGTCGTGTTTGTGACCACTCTGGTGACTGCTGGAAACTTGACACTGGTTGACTCCTGTGTGTCCTGGCAGTGGCTTGGCTTTGCACAGGTGGCTGGTTCTCTGGATCACTCCTAAACGAAATTTGAATCCTCCGATTAAAACGGGAACTGCACCTTTTTCTACTGCCTTTATTAGTTAAAGTTTAGCCCAGAGTGTTGTTTCTTGACCAACATACAGTTTCACCAAGAGAATAAAGTGCAAACAAGTAATGCTAGTTGGCAACCTGAGCTATTTCAGTATATGAAAGTGTCTCTCTTGTTTTAAATTACAAAGATTGTGAGAAGTGACTTCAGAGATGTAGTAAGATATGGTGCAGTGCCTTTCTTTGAATTCATGGCCTAGAGTGGACTTGTAAAGTCTGGCTGAATTTAGGTGCCAGATGCATGGCAGATTGAGTTAAAATATTTACCTATGTAAAAATAGATCACAGCAGTTGAGAAGTGCAGATTTTTAACGCTTCAAATTGTTTGTAAGGTCCGATCACACTAAATACACAAATTCTACACTTGAGTTAAACTTAGTTTCAATTTAAACCTTGATTTTGGAAGTAGTTGCCTTGACTAATGTTTTTTGAGTAGGACTTGTTACTCCTTAAAGTAAATTCGAGGTATTTGCAGGCCTGCTTATGTCCATTGTTGACTTAAATGCATATGTTTTGAGTAATGAATTGAATTACTTACAAACACTGATTTAGCACGTATCTTTTAACTTATTTCAAAGGAAGTATTTACACGTAGTCATTAAGTTACCCCAGCACAATTCCTATCAGCCTAGAATTGGAAAAAGTTGTTCATCCTTAGTACAGTGAAAGTTCAGACATCAAAAGTAGTATATTGAATTAAACAAGGAAAAGGAACTAACATTAATGCATGGCTTGTTTTCTGTTTGATATTAGCAATGATAGATGAAAAACTGAGCTGGTTTTGTGTAATCAAATAATAATTTTAAATTATTAGACCACTAATAATTTAGTCCATTGTGTGGACTCCTGCTAGAAAAATAAATCACAAAAGCTTCTGTGAGTGCTTAAGTTTCAAATTCCTTTTGGGGTGTTTTAGTAGTCATTTAAAAAAAAAAAGGCATTCAGGGAATTAAATCAAGGTATAATAAAAATGGTGTAAGAACTAATATTTTTCCTTTAGTTTCTAGTTTAGTTAGGAACCTTTATGTTATATTCATATATCATCTCCAGGCAGGTTTAGCTAATGTACATAGACTAGGCCAATGCAGAAACTTTTGTAAAATCAAAAGATAATGGAATAATCCAATTAGCACATAACTCTAAATTAAACAGTGAATTTTCAGACAAATTAAGAAATCCTTTTCTTTTTTTTCCTGTCTACTTAAGTATATTCTCCTTACTATGAGCCTAGTTGCAACTCTTAAATGCTTTCAGATATTAATTTCTAGCACAGTATTAGCTGCAGACCATCTGACAAAAAAACTTTTTCAGTCCCAACGTGCATTTCAAGTGTTGATTGTCGTATCAAAATACCACAAGAAAAACCTCACAGGTTTAATAAAATTGGTTTGTGTTCTTACTTTTGAAGGGATGCTGCCAAGTGTGTGTATTTTCACACAGGTGTCTTTCAAATTTTCGTGTTTCTTACAGGAACTAAGTGACCTGCAGCGTGACCCACCAGCCCACTGTTCTGCTGGACCTGTTGGAGATGACTGTAAGCTCTTCATAGTACATAGTCAGATTTTTTACCTTTTTTTCAGTTATGAAAAAACTTGGAAAATCTCTAATTTTTTATCTTTTTTACTTTCAGTGTTTCATTGGCAAGCAACTATTATGGGACCTGTAAGTATATAATTTGTGCCCCTTAGAATGTAAGACCTTGCTTCTCTTTTTGTTATGGAAGAATTTAGTTGGGTTTCTATAAATATAGCAGTTCCATTCAGCTGTTCTGTGTATAGATTGAAGATTTAGGGTGATGTTGTTCAGAGTAGTCTGGTACTAGTTGCTTTCTGTAACTTCAAAAATCCGTGCTGTGGTGTTTGATTTGGTAGGGGGGCCTACAAAGAGCTGGCTTTTCAAAGATGATCAGATCAATTCTGGAAGATTCATCCATCTGAAAGGACAAAGAGTAGATGAAATCCAGTATTAAAGCTGGTAACTGTAAACAAGAGTGGAGTTGCACAGGGTGATTTTGGGGCTTTTAGACGGAGCTTATTTTATTTGATGGCTGTGATGTGGCTCTGGCAAAAGCAGATGACTTTTGCAAATTACAGGCCAGCAGTTTGGGGTGCTTTTGCTGGTTTCTGTGTGAGAAAGGTGCTTTCCTTGGGTTGAGGGAGCTCTGTAAAGACCCTAATTATGACCCTTGTTAAGGAAATGACATAAGAAAGGACAATAAAACTTAAAACCAGAAAGTTTTAAAGGAAAACTGAAAAGAATTTTAGCAAAAATAAGAACAAAGAACAACATGATCGGATGGAAGGTGTGTTTATTAATATCCTGGTAAGGAATTTGTATTCCTAGTGTTTTCCTTTTAGACGTACTAATTTGGAAAGACACGTCTCTACTTCAGACACTGAGCTGAGTTACTGTGCGAGGTGAAATTTTGAGATAATACTTAATCCATTAAGATGCAGCATTGCATGCTGTAGAAAAGTTGAATTGTGTCTCCTTTAAGACTATTTCTTCATTTTCAGCACAGCTGTTCTGAAGCAGTGAAAGATCAGTCACTAATTTGCCAGTGGTGCACTGGAATCTGTTGTCCAACTTGTCAGTGGCCCAGCAGCAACTGTTTTTCTGTACTGTACTAATGCTTTTGCTACTTTTCTTGACCAATCATGTTCTTTCACATACAAAATTCTTCTGACCCTTGCCATTTTGCACTGAGATAAAGGGTCAACAGCAAAGCAGCAGAGTTAATAATGCTTATGTGCTGATTGCCATCAGTAATGTCTGTCCTGAATAACTCTGATGACATGAGTGAGGGAAATACTAGAACATAAATTTTGGCTTAAATTCTATTTTCTTCTCCAGCTTGCAGTTTACCTTTCATATTCTGTAGTGGAAAGTATTCTTTTCTTTGCTTCAGGTTACTCAGATGTCTCTAGTTAAGGATAAGAATGAGCATCTCTTGCCAACCTTTCTCAGCCCTGTCTGCAGAGATACAGGAAGAGAATACCCCAGGATATTAATCCTTTATTGTGATAACAAAAGGAAATTAGGGATGTGCATCCTGTATGTTTCCTGATGGAAACATAGGACTCAAGCTTACCTTCAGAATTCGTTTCCTATGTGTGGAAGTAGGGTAACCTCTTCTGTCTGTGGATGTCATCAATTTGTTGTATATACCCTACTCATAAAACATAGTGTGACTTCACTTTGCCTTCTCTCTGACACTGAACTTGTCTCATCTTCAGCTTATTTTAACTTTGAAAAATCCATTTAGTATTCAAGCAAGCAGTCCTTTCAAACCTAATTGGAATTACTGTGGCAACCTCTTCTGATGTTACCTAATGCTGACTTAGTATGACTATATATAACCTGCCTTACATTGCAACACTGTCTGCACTTTAAGTGTGTAAGAAAACATGTCTTAGTGGACCATTTGTGGCTCTACCTCTTACAGTCATATAGTCATCTCTAAAACCATTAATTTCCAAGGTAAAGATTTTTAGAAACAGTCTGCCTTTGTTTCCATAAGAAAACCCCAAACCTCAATCTTCTGCAGCTTTCCTGAGACTGACTTCCTATGTTGCTGTTTTAAACTTACCATGTAATGAGAGTGGTTTTCTTCTTTCCCTTAATCAGAAGTGGCAGAACTGTTCTCTATCATTCAGCATCGAGACTTTTCCACTCATTTTTTTTTTGTTAATAAAAATGAGAGTTCTTCAACAGATGACTACAACTGAGTTATTTGTATTAGCTCTGTGCAACCTGGACGTAAACCTGTGCACATGTTTTCTAACAAAATGCATGTTCACAGATTTGTACAGGTCACAAAGATGTTGTGTGTTTTAAAACTCCCCGATGTCATCATGATGAACTGAATTATGTTGGAAAATCCTACTCTTTGCATCTGCAAAGAGAAACCACTTCTTAAGGTAAGTATATTTGTAGCTTAAGGATGGAGGAGGATCAGAACAGCTGTGGTCTTGCACAGCGACAGGATTTGGAGGACTTGCTTTGGTTTTTGTATTCCCCTCAGTGCAGTGAGTCTATTGCTCTGCAGATTTGTAGCTTCCCCAGTGGAACACTGCTCCCTCCTTTTCTCTGCCCAGAAGGGCAGTGCTCAGTAGCTGTTTTGTGCCTCTGCAGTAGCAGCCACGATTGGCTCTACTTTAGCTCTGCAGGTCAGTGGGAGGGTTCAATTCCCTCTGTGCCTTCCCAGTATATGGCCCATAGTGGGCTGTGTGCTGGGGAAAAAACAGATTTGCTTTGGAAGGTTATCTGCATTCAAAAGGGAAACTCTAAAATGGCTGAAATGCATTAATGTGTTTTATTTGTTCTGTTTTTTTCCCCAGCCTGATAGTGCATATCAAGGGGGTGTATTTTTTCTCACAGTACACTTTCCAACAGACTATCCTTTCAAACCACCAAAAGTAAGTCCTTTCTTTGAACTTATCACATATTTTTGGTCAAAACTTTGTTTCTGTGTCTTAGTTCTTTGAGGCTTAATTTTGGAAGTTAAAACCAGAAAGGTGAGCAATCCACATGTTCATTGTGGATGACAGATAAGACTGTAAAAAAATTGTGTTGGCAGATCCAGTATGACTGGAAAGGGAGGGATGATGTTAAGGATTCCAAATGTAATAAACATAATTTTATGTTAGTTGGTTTGGTTTTATTTTTTTATTACAGATTGCTTTTACAACAAAAATATATCACCCAAACATAAACAGTAATGGGAGTATTTGTCTTGATATCCTGAGATCACAATGGTCACCAGCTCTGACTGTATCTAAAGGTAAGCTCACTGATTTGATAATGCATTATGAAATTGCATTGCACTGCCATGGCATTTTTTTTGTGTATTATTGCACAGTGGGAACTCGTTTATCCTGCACATTTCAGAAAGGGCATTGGAATTCTTTTTATGATCCAAGATCTTGGAACAGCTTATTGGGAGTGTCACATTACAGAAAAATATGTGCATGGCAGAGAAATGTTCTAAAACAAGTTGAGTAAGGTAATAAATGTCCAATCAGCCTGAAATGCAACTTCTGTATTATAGCTGAGGAGAAACTGGTGAGCTGGGCTTCAAAGTCAAATGAATTTGGATGTAAATGGAAGACCCTGATAGTGACAAGTGTGGGCTTAGGTGATTGCCTGTGATGACTCTTTGGGTAGCCTGAGCACACTTGTGTGGGCTAAGGTCTTAATTACACTTTATTTTAAAATGAGATAAATTGTTCTGGTTTGCGTTCCTCTGTAAGATGAATATTTTAAAACGTAGCTCCTTTCAAAGTCATCAGTAAAAGATTTATTAAAGTATTCTTGTCCTGTAGTTAAACTTTCTCTAGTTAAACACTGTAAATTTTTGGAACATTGAATTAACAGTTCAGCAGTTCTTTTGTTGGAGGCATTTTGTGTCACTTCAAAAGCTGCTTAAAATGTGGGTGCTGTTGTTTTTTCTCATCCACCTTCAAAATGCTAAGGCACACTTAAGTCATATTACAGAATTTCTCACGTGACTCAAAAGGTTAAACAGTATCACATCTTGTCCTGTGCTTGGGAGCTCCCTAAGCTGTGTCTTTTTTTAGAACAGTGTCATTGCATTGGGTGTACAAGCAAAGAAAAAAAATGTTAGTCTTTGTCCAATGGAAATTGGTCTGTGCAAGTCCAGTTGCCATCCCTCCTTGGAAGAGCAACTTCTCCTGCACACAGCCTTGTGCAGTAATCTGACAAGCTGTATAAAATCTAGGTCTAATACTGTTTCCTGAAGTCATTGCTGAATATATGAGTTGCTCTTGTGTGTCCTTGGTATCAGCTTTTCACAGAAATTAGTCGTTTTGTAGATAGGCAAAAATTTTCTTGTTTCTAATTATTTAGCAAATGAAAGTTGGCGTTTAGGTTTCACACTTGGTGCCTACAATTGAAAACTCTCAGTTTTTAGATCTTCAGCACCTTTCTGTCTTGTTTATAAAACAGAGCAGTCTGCTAGTCTCATGTTCTGATGTGACGTGCCTTTAACCTGCTTGCATGTTATATATTTTATTAACTGAAAATTAATATTTTATAAACTGAAAATTTCAGTGACTCATGGAAGTTTCTCCTTTCTAGTCCTTGTTTTACTGAATCAAAGGTTTAAAACATACTGATAACACCTCTGATTGGTGTGACTGTGTATTCTAACCTGATTTTCTAATATTACTGGCACTTAATAAATATGTCAGTATTGAAGTGGCTGAACTTGCTACTGCTGAAAATAGGTGTGGGCTCTTGGGTAACAAGACAAAGCAGGGGGGGAAAAAAGATATTCTACAGCAGGTTCTTATGGTAGCATTAAGTTCCCTTTTATAACATATTTACAGTGGTTTAACTGTGTACTCTTGTATGCTTTTAGTTCTGAGTATAAAAATAGAAATTTCCTGAAAAAAAATCAAACCTCCTTGGTTCAATACCAGGAAGTGAATATGGAATTGTAAGTGAATACCTGCACATAATGCTGATGAAGCATTTTCTCAAAATGGAAGTCATGCTTGGGTAAAGTATTCATATGATTGAGAGAACAACTGTCAGCACAGCACATATAGAGTACTGCATGACAATGTCATATTAACAATATTAGTTATCTTAAATAATTGCAGATTAAATGCTTAGTTTGAACAAATATTTATATGTAACTGTGCAGTCTGTAGTTTGTTTAATGTTCATAGGTTAAAAAAAAATTCTTTAGGCTCGTATCAGGTGTTGTTTACTTAGGCCATAAAAAAATGATGCTGTATAAACATTTCTGAACAGAACTGCTGTATGACAGCTTAATACTAATATGCATTCTTTTTCCAATCTTCCACCACTTTCCTTCAGTGTACTGGCATATATTCATGTATTATAGGAATAAAGCAAACTAACTTTTTTAATCTAGTGTCTCTTTTATTTAGTTTTATTGTCCATATGCTCCTTACTTTGTGATCCTAATCCAGATGATCCTTTAGTACCAGATATTGCACAGATCTACAAGTCAGACAAGGAAAAGTGAGTATAACGTGTATATATAATTGTGTGTGTGGTACTTGCAGATGGTTACCTGCTAAGCGCCTTCTATCTTAACTTTAGCAATACTCTTTTCATAGATTTCTACAGGATTAGGATTAGATTTTCAAATCTTGAAAATAGCTATGGCAAGTAGAAAACTGTAGGTATTGTGTATGCCTACATAGGTGTTGCTGGGTACCTAATTTTTTGTACTTAGTTACATAAAACCATCACACTTCTGTGTCTCATCTTATATTCACTGCTTGAAAAAACATTTCCCAAACATGAGTTATCTCTTGCTACTGCAATCCTCTGTTTGTAAAACCTGTACAGAAGAATTTTTGACTTTTTGGTTAACTGAGTTTTTTGGTACCTATTTTTTGTATTGTATTCAGTATTGAGCCACTGAAGACCTCTTGCAGTGTTATGCTGGTGGCCTGTGGCTCATCACATGTCACAGCTTCAGGAAGATTTGAGTATTGTTTTTACCTTGAGCAGTGGATAAAAAAAGGAGTGATGTAGAAGTTACATGGAAGTCTGTGGTCTAGTATTTCTCTCCCTAGAGTAAGAATTATTAAAATGGCCTCTTTCTGGCAGTCTGGCACAGTCAAATCATGTAACTCACTTTTGGACCACTTGAACTCTGCAGCTTGTTCTGCAAAGCAGACAGTGTTCAAATTGAGGATGTTATCAGAGGGGAAGTTATGAACTCTCGAAGGTCGTTTATCTTTGGGACTGCTAATCAGCTTCATGCCAGAAGGAAAAGACTTAAAATCTAGTAAAAAATGCTTTTCAGAAAATTTTCCTTTCAAGTTCTGAAATGATGATGGCAGGGCAGAAGGGAGAATAAATTGAGCATCAGCTTCTCCCCATTTGTGTCTCAACTTTTGTCCACCTACCTACTTACTAGTGGTTTCAGCTATTGTGCCTCCTGTTTGTGAAGGTGTTTTCTCTCCAAAACTCAAAATTTAATCATTGCTAGAGAAAGTGAGAAAATGTATCTTGAGAAAAATGTCTTGACTATAGCTTTATCTTCTTCTGCTGATCACCTATTAAATTATTTTTATCTCATCTTGAATTTAGGAAATTAATTATATGGCTGGTTACCCCATAGCATTTATCTGAATATTTCAGTATAAGTAAAGATCCTAAGACTTGTATGGTAGCATATTTTTAAGAAGAAAACCAGTTAGTTCATGAGTTGTTATACTGATCTTAAGAAACAGATTTAAAATTTTGTCAGCATTTTTCTCTGATGACCCAGAAGAAAGTGAATCTAGTCTGAAAAGCAGAATGTAGCAAACATAAAGATCAGAGGGGAAGTTATGAACTCTCTAAGGTCATTTATCTTTGGGATTGCTAATCAGCTTCATGCCAGAAGGAAAAGACTTAAAATCTAGTAAAAAATGCTTTTCAGAAAATTTTCCTTTCAAGTTCTGCAATGATGATGGCAGGGCAGAAGGCAGAATAAAACTCCAGTTAATTTTACTGAATTTTATGCAACTAAAATGCGTGGACTTTGTCAGACTGTTAATAACATTTGCATCTAGAAGTAATTAACAACAATTTCCTGTTAAGGTACAAATAAGGGAACCGGCTGTGAAACGCAAATTAAGTAGGCACAATGATGTGCATTTTAATGCAAACCTGTGAGATTGGTTTTGAGTCTGAACAGCTGTAATAGGTAACCTTAGAAAGTGAACAGACAGTGGGTATATTTTTTTTGGCTCTTAGACTATTTTAACTTCTTCGACTCAGTGCTCAGAGGTGAAAAGCTCAATAACACCTGTATTAAGTAAATATGTGGCCATTGTCAATGTCTCACTAACAGCTCTTCACTGTAATGCCTTCTTTCTGCACATACAGATACAACAGACATGCAAGAGAGTGGACTCAGAAATATGCAATGTAAACTTGTGAAGACTTTTTCATATACCACAGAGTACTGTAAATTCTAGGCTTTTTTCAAAATTAGAAGGAAATGGAGCACAATTTATGGTTTTGATGTAACGTGACTCCCCTTGAATTTTTTTTCACCCACGTAAGTGTGTTTCTGGAGCAAGGGAGAATAAACTTCCAAAAATAACCTTATGACTGTGATGAGAATATTTATCCTCTTTGTATGCTTTGCAGAAGACATTTATTATGGTTTTTAAGAGTTGGACGTCTGCATCTTCAGACTACAAGATCTGTAATGCAGTTGTAAAGCAACCGAATTATTTTTGCTGGGAAAAGTAGCTGGTTTTATGTGATAAATACTGTATGTTTGTCATTGAAGTATGTTGTTGTTTCATAAGTGTATTCAAATTTCTTTTTGTTAGTTCACTTAATAATTTGTATTTTTTTACTGTATAGACTAAATATTTTATTTACAATGTCAGTAATTTCATTTTAGACTTACTTGTGTGTGCACAGTATTGACAAGATACAACTGCTAGTAATGAAAATAATTGGAGTATCCCACCCATTAGGATATTCTAAAGACTGACTGCAGATTTCTTAAAACCTAAAATGATCTTTGCACTGTAATTCTTTGTATGCTGATTATGGAGAAACACTTCGTTTTGATTCTGTTGCATACTTAATTTTATTGCAATGAGAACTAATTGCACTGCTATGTAGAGAGATATGTAACCATTTTGTTGCTATTCACAACTGATTTTTGACGTAACACTATCATAGATCTTTTACAAATCCAAATGTAGCCTTTTCCATATAAATAAAATGCATTTTCTACTACTTTTCTTGGAGGTTGTTTTTTTTTTATTTTAACTCACGGGTATCTTTAAAGTACTTGTTCTAACATTACAGAATCACCAATAGTATATGTGCATGTGTCTTGTAAAGAGAAGGACAAATAAAGCTACGCATCATCTACTACTTAGAACTGGGTTGCAATTAATTTTTATGCTACCTTTAGCCTAATTTAGCATGCTATGCCCATTGCTGAATATAGGATTTCAAGTAGTTTAAGGCCATTTTACACCTGTATTCATCTATGGAGGAGATAACCACAAGTGTCTCAACATCAGCCACTTAGTTAAGGTGATGTATTTGCAATATCAGAACGTTACAGTAAACTCCTCACACTTAAAGGTAACTTTTCCATTAACTGGCACTTCAGTTGCTTCAGAGTATGCATGTGGAAAACCAGTAGTGCTGGAGAGGGGCAATTTGTTCTTAAAAGGTAGATTAGAAGCAGAAAAACTCTGATTTCCTACTGTGCATTCTTCTTGGTTATCTGAAAATAAAAATGGGTGACTAAATGTTTTTCTCTGTACCTCGCACATGAAAGAAAACTGACTTCCAGTTGGGAAATTTGTCAACATAAAATATATATTTTTAAGATGAGAGATATATTTGATTTGGGGTTTTTTTATTATTCTAATATATGCTAAATTGGAATTTAGGGTATGAGTGGTAAGCGTGCACAGTAGGAGCTTTTTTCCCTACCAGTGGAATATTAATTTTTGTGTTTGCCAATTTACTGACCTAAAGGGTCACATATGGGAAAATGTAATTTCTGTGCTACAGTTTTATCTATGATGTAATGATATTTGAAACAACAGATTGGTCGAGAGTGGCTCTATTCATCTTAAAATATCCCCGTTCAGTTTGCAAACTGAAAAAATGGATTTTTTTGTTACAAAGTGCTTCATTATATGTGAACCAGGACAACGTAGCTAGGAAGGCAAAGCCATCATTTACACTTCTTCTCAAATGATGGTAAAAAACTTTGACCATCACAATGTGTTCCCAGAGCTTTTATTTTTTCTAGATCAGTAGTAATCTGTGTGTATTAGAAGTCATTTAAATGTTTGCAATACCTGTACTGACCTGTATGAAAATTGGAAGTTTGTATTGTATTTCGAGATACTCACTTTCTTTTGGTTTGTCAGTTTGTGTTAGGGGTGGTTTGAAAACATTTTTACTTTAACTGCTAATGTTTCTGATGTGTGCAACGCACCCGAGAATGACTTTGCATCATGGTATGAAACCAGCAGAAGGATGTGAAACCCAACACCCATGTGGTAAGGCATGTTAGGCATATGTAGATACTAAAAAAGGAATGTCTTAGCTTCACACCTCTAAAACAGCATCATCATAAGTCATCATAAGGATGCTTATGATCCTTGTAGCAGTTCAGCCTTACTGCTTTTGGAATTATAGGAATGAAATTATAAATACATTATTCAAAACTTCACTTGTTCAGTGAGGTTGTTGGGTTTCATCATCATGGCCAGGCTTCGCGAACGAAGATTTGGGAAGGGCTCTACCCACGTTTGTTGCAAGCGTGTTGGTGGCTAAAAAGGCCAATACGAGATAGGCACGTCCAGTTGCAAAAGGCACAGCAGAAAGACTCCTTAGGTGGTACATTCTGCAGGGCACGATTCTTTCTGCGTTGTCTTTTCTCCTCAGGAGTGATCCTGGTGCTTTCTCAAAGGCATCAGCAGCGTTATAGATGGTGTGTGTCCAGACCTCCAGATTGGAGACCAGAGTAGACCAGTTATGTTGGTCAATATGGCCAAGGCTGAGATGTTGTTTCAGGGAGTCCTTGTATCTTCTCTTCGGGGCTCCTCTCTTGCGGCAGCCAGTGGCAAGTTCACCATAAAGCAAGATCTTAATCTGGAGATAAACATCACTACTGCTCCTTCAGAACTCCGTTAATGCTTTTTATAGAAACGCTCTTTTAAGGCAGTAGGGGGTGCAGGGAATTAGAGCTGAAACATTACTCCACTCTGTGTTGTTTACTGTGATGGAAAAGAAAATAACTTTCCCCCGAGAACTGGTTGGTGCTGTGGTGCGTTTTTAGACACAGCTGTACCCAAAACCTTGCCATTAAGAGGAAACCAGTGAAACCGTGCGGATCTTGGCCACAGGTCATCAGCTGAATTAATTAATTAGCGCGTAGTCGGACTCTGTATTTTAGTTTCCTGCGTGCGCGCCCCCCCTGCAGGGCCGGGCACAGCCCCGTCCCCGCCGCCCGCGCTCACGGTCACCTTGTGCGGCCGCCGCGGCCCCGCCCCTGCCCTCGGCCGCCGTCCCGCGCAGGCGCGGCGGGCCGGCAATGGCGGCGGCGGCGGTGCTGGGCCGGGCCGCGGGCCTGGGGCTGGGCCTGGGCCTGGGCCTGGGCCTGGGCCTGCTCACGGCAGGGCGGCGGCTCCTCAGGTGCGGGGCGGGAGCGGGGCTGCGGGGAGCGGGGACCGCCTCGGTAGGGTGCCGGTGACCGCCTCGGTGGGGTGGCGGTGACCGCCTCGGTGGGGCGGCGGTGACCGGCGGTGCCGTTGTGTGCAGGGCCGGTGGCGCGGCGGAGCAGTGCCTGTCCCGGGGGATCAGCTCGGATCAGCGCCCGAAGCGGCCTCTCACCGCCTATTTTCGTTTTATTAAGGAAAACCGTTCGGCGTTTAGGGAAAAGAACCCAGGTACGAGGGATGAGGGGAGGGGAGGCGAGTCCGCGGGGCCCGCGGTTTGCTCCGTGCGGGAGCGGGGGCGCGGCCTGTGCCCCCCGAGCTGGGCTGAGCTGGGAACCGGAACAGCCTCTGTCTGTGTAAAACCGAACCGCGTGCAGGAATTATCCATTACCCTGATTTTAGAAACCCAACCCATGTGTTTATCCATAGCATGCCCCAAGCGAATCCAGCATGGCCGTACTTACTGCGCACACGTGTGTTATTTTCGCCTTCTGCGCATCATAACTCAAAACAATGAGCGCGCGTATAACTTTAAAAATGTGCATATGATTTTATTTTGACGTCTGGTAATTGAAAGACTACAGGTACTGGATTGTCTTGGCTGTAAATGGAAGAAAAAGTAAATGTATGTAGAGGAAAATGGTTTTCTGTGAATATGTTTAATTTGCTATCAAAAACTTTATTTACAGGCAGTGCAGTCACTCTTGCCAGAGAGCAGCAAAATGGAAAGCTGTGCTGGTTTTGAAATATTGTTGAAATTCAAGTTAACATGGTTAAAAAACTGTGGTCATATTAGCAAACCCTTGAGGTAAATTTAAGTAGGGAAAACCATTTGATACCCCACTCAGCAGTTCAACAGTTCCACAGTCAAAAAGGTTGGGAACTGAACTATCAGAGCTTATTGTAGTTACATACTACACCAGTGTTTTCCACGTTTTCAAAATTTGAATAATCTGCAAATAAATATACTGGATCTTATATACAAATTGAGAACTTTTGGTTTTCTTGTTCCAATAGAGGTAATGGTCAAAAATAACTTGATAATTTATTAGTTCTCTTTTATCATTGGCCAAAGCATCATATTTTCAAAGGTTTTAAGGTTCACCTACTTGGACTAAAAGCTCTCCATCTGTCTTGTTTTTCCAGAATTCTGGAAGTCAGGTTACTGAGAAGAGCTTAGTTCTGCTTTCCCACCATTGAGGTGGCTGAGCTTTACATTTGAGGTGGAAGAAAAGCTCATCTGTTTTTGGTTTTTTTAATTGTGAAGTAGAGGAAAAGCCTGTAAAGGATTTTTCAAGAAAAGACCACCTTATATCCTTTTTGCACCACCCTTCAGTTTGGTTGGGGGTTTTTTTGGTTGGTTGGTTGGTTGGTTTGGTTTGGTTTTGTAATTATTATTATTCTTCTCCCCTTCACAAATTCAAGTCTGGCTGAAGGCCTCATCAAATGACCATGGTACAAGAGCCAGAGTCAAAGGCAGTCAGCTGAAAACCAAAGTAGACTCAAGTCACCAATTTTGTTTGTAGGAGAAGGAAATTACCTTTTTTTTAACCTTACTTCTTTTGAATAATATTGTAAATAAAGGACTTTAATAAAGATCACAGAATGTGCTGAGTTGGAAGGGACCCACAAGGATCACTGTAGAACAGGAGAAGGTCATATGTGCTATATCAGGTGGATAAAGTCACATTATACTTGCTTTGAAGAATTTAGCAGACTCTCTTTGCTAAAAAAGGAGAACTGGAAATTTTACTTTTGGTCTCTTCCCTGCTCCTCCCTCCAAATTCAGACCATCTTGCATTGTGTAGAAAAATATCCATCTCAAAAGGAAAAAATTGAATTGTTGTGGAGTGATAATAGCTGCCTTAAAATTGTGCTTCATCTTATAACTGCACGTTTCATTCCAGGTTGAACCAAGAGCGGTGCCTCTTTCCCATCCCCAGAATACTACAGTTCTGTTTAACTGCCACAGTAAGGTAGTTTTATGGAAGGATGAAAATGTTTCTACAGGAAAAAGATACTTGTGACACCTTTCCTTGGGAAAATTGAAGAACCTTCCTACAGATACAATGTTGATCTTTATTTTCATGCTTTCTCCTTTTAATATACAGAAGCAAGCAGCACAGAGCTGACCAAAATATTAGCAGGTGCTTGGAGGGAGTTACCAACATCCCAGAAGCAGGTAAGAGTGTATCTTTGCCCTGAGTACTTTGAACTCTGTACAGTCTTGGTGGTTGTTTTACTTGGTTTGGTGTCCCTTGTGGATTTTTTGTTTCATGTGGTGATTTTTTTGGTTGGTTGGTTTGTTTTTAATCAACGGTTTAAAAAGCACGTGTGTACAAAGGCTCAGACATCAGTACCCCACAATGTGGTGGGTTGACCCTGTCTGGACACTGAGTGCCCAGCAAAGCCAGTCTCAGCTGGGCAGAGGACAGAAAATATACTCAAAGATTCATGAGTTGGGATAAGGGCAGGGAGAGATCCCTCACCAGTTACTGTCAGGGCAAAACAAACTCCACCTGGGGAAATCAGTTTATGACCAATCAAATCAGAGTAGGCTAATGAGAAATAAAAACTTAAATCTTAAAACACCTTCCCCGCACCTCCTGTTCTTCCCAGACTCAATTTCATTCTCTGTTTCTCTAGTTCCGCCCGCCAGTGGCACAGGGGGATGGGGAGTGGGGCCTAAGGTCTGTCCATCACATCTTGGATGCTCCTTCCTGCTCAGAGGGAGAACTCTTCACACTCTGCCCCTGCTGGGGCCTTCCTACAGGAAACAGTCCTCCATGAACTGTTCCCAGTGTGAGTCTTTCCCACACGCTGCAGTTCTTCAGGAACTGCTCCAGCATTGGTCCCTTTCCATGGGGTGCAGTCCCTCATGAATAGGCTCTTCCAGTGTGGGACCCCCCCGGAGTCACAGCCCCCTTCAGGCATTCCCCTGCTCCAGTGTGGGATTCCTCCCTGGGCTGCAGATGGATCTCTGCTCCCTGTGTTCCTCCCTGGGCTGCAGGTGGATCTCTGCTCCCTGTGAACCTCCATGGGCTGCAGGGGCACAGCTTCCTCACCGTGGGCTGCACCACAGGCCACAGGGGACCTTCTTCATCACCTGGAGCACCTCCTCCCCTCTTTCTCCATGGATCTGCAGGAATAATCTTCTCACATTCTCACATCTGACTCCTCTCCCAGGCTGAAGTTGTGCAGTTTTCTTTTTCCCCTTCTTAATGCTCTTATCCCAGAGGCACCACCACTGTCACTGGTGGGCTGAGCCTTGGCCAGCTGTGGGTGCCTCTGGAAGCTGCTTGGCATTGGCTCCATTGGACACAGCAGCTTCTCATGGGAGCCAGCCCTGTACCCCCCTCACCACCAAAGCCTGACCATGCAAACCCAATACAGGAAGATACTTTGATACCTGTACACGACCTGGGTTTTCATAATTTTAGTCTGTTGCCAGAGAAAGGGCACAGCTCTCACTCCATATGGCTGTGGGGCTGGGAACCGAATGTTTTTCCTTTTTACATGGTAATTATGTACGTGGTGCATTACATGTATAATAATATAAGTTTTGTAAAGTTACTCTGCTTTCATGTGCATAAGTTAGGTGAAACCTCAGTTAATTTTGATGAAAGGACCAACTCTTTTTTTTGCTACTTGTAAATTTATTGAAGAGCCATCAAATTAACTTTTAGTCATAAGTAGTGAAGTTTCTCTAAGAGTGGCCGTTTCAAGCGATAATGTAAAACAACTCTAGGATTTGCTAATTGCACTTAGCAATTAAATGCAGCTAGGAACTAATTGCAGTTTTCTAGCTAAAGTAGTATCCTTTTTCAATAGAATTGAGGTGCTCTCATATCCCTTTTGGACTGCTCACTCTGTGTGCTTTTCCCTTTTTGTGTCTGAAATGGATAACGGGGGGAAGTCAAACAGATGAAAATCTGATGTTCCAGGGTAATTTTTTCCAGTCTTAATTTTTAAAAGTGTTAGCTTGTCTGATGATCAGGTGGTTCTGACTGAAAGCATCTGTTTAAGGCTGGTGATGATTTGTCCTGTAGGTTTACGAGGAAGCAAAAAAGACAGATTGGCAAAGATATGGAGAGCAGCTGGCCAAATATAAAGCCCAACTAACTCCAGCCCAGGCTGCAGCTTTGAAGGAGGAAAGGAGAAAACAACTGGCAAAGAGAAGATCAATCCGGGCAAAAAGAGTAAGCATTTTGAAGTTCAAGTTTCTTTTCTCTCAAGGAAGCTGAAGTCTGTCTAGTATATAGAGCAGAGTTGAAGCATGGTTTTAGAAATGCAGAACCAACTCAGAATAAAAGAAAATACACAAGAAACACAAAACCCCAAAAATGCCATGGACTAAATATAATTGCTGATGTTTTGGCATTCCTGTGCTTGAAGAACACAGAACTAGCACATATCTTTATGCTTAAAGGTAGCTTCTCTATGCTTTTTTTCTCCCTATTCCTCGAGCTGCCAGAGAAAGGATAGGTAATAAAAGGCATTTGGACCAGCAACACTTCCTTTGGATGGGAAGACGTCCAGAAATAGCTTTTCACAAAGGCCTTGTATCTCTTACCTCATTGGCCCCTACCAGAGAGCAGCTCTTTGAAGGAGCCTTTTTTCCTTCCTTTCTTTGGACTCTGTGACTTTGCTGTCTGTGTTGCTGCTGCCATGGTGAATTAGGGCTGCAGAGGGGCATCTCTTTACTAGAATCCTTTTCTAGCATATTCAAGCAGACCATCTTCCCTATTCCCTTTTAGCTGGTTTATATATAAACCTGAGAGACAGAACCATCTACAAAGGTATGATATTGGGATTGGTCCCATAGCAAAATCACCTATTGCTTGCTCATTTCTGTGAATTAAACTGTGACATTGCCCTAACTAGCAAAAGTGAAATTAATTTGGTTTAAAAGACCTCTACTTAGAGGAAGTTTTTAATCCCAGTGATTGTCTTGATCCTTTTTATAGAGTATGGCAGCCCAAGGAATTTAGCTAGCATATTTAATACCTAAGCAGATGTTAATTTGCAGCACCCAGGCTCCAGTGGGAATGTCAGGACTGGAGAAAACAAGAAGTGTAATTGCATTCATAACTTGCTGTACTTTCCTTCTCGTGCCATCATCCCTGCAGGCAAAGTGTTCTGATAGCAAACCCAGTTCTGTTTCCCTGGAAATTGGTTCTGTTCCACCTTCTCACCTCCCACAGTCCACCACCTGCCCTCCTCTCTGCAAGCAGGGAGTATTTCACAGCAAAAACAGAAGCCTTATGAAGAATAATAGAAAACCTGTCATCATTATTTTCTTACAGAGGAATTTAATAACAGTCTTTGGTTTCTGGAACACTTAGCTGAAGTAAGAATCAGTTTAAAATGCTTCTTCTATATCTGTGAAAACTCAAGTTGTTAGCTTTTCTTAGTTTAGTTCAGCATTAGTCTTGACAAGCACAGAGAGCATCATGACATACAGTCCAGTTTACAGAATAAAACACCAAAGAAAGAATTTGTGTTTGGTTTTTGTATAAAATATAAAGACAAACGGTAAGCTTAGTTTTGGAAAAAATGCATGCTTGGTAGATGGAATAACTTTTCTTGTTGTTTTTAAAGGAATTGACTGTGCTTGGAAAACCTAAAAGACCTCGTAGCGCCCTTAACATTTTTGTGTCCGAAAAATTTCAAGAAAGTGAGGGAATTTCACCTGCGGTAAGCCAGGAAAGATTGTTTTATAAAATAGATCCATTGCATTCAGAAAAATCTGGTTTAGATTGTGTCATTTTCAAAGAAATTGTTCAATAGTTCAATATCTGCATGTTGCTTTGCTTAGGTTACCTTTTTTAGGCTGCAGTGATCTGCCTGTATACTGCCGCTGGCATGGCCTTTATGAACTGCTGTGTGGGTATACAGACTTTAAAGATTTGCAGTATTTTTTGCACTTCAGTGTTACAGACTTCATCTGTTCCTTCTGTAAGGAGAGAATTATTCTCCTCTTTGTTTTGGTGTAGAAACACATTAGTTTTTCAGAGTTGTGGTGGTCTGCTCCTGTTCCTGCAATACGAGTTCATTGTACCTCCTATAGCTCAGGTGGTGTTACAGAATATGCCAGAGTTCCTCAGCAAATTCACAAGTTCTGCACTAAACTGCACTTTGGGGTGATGTAAATGACACTGGTGGATTACAGCACTCAAAGTGTTGGAGACCTCCCCTGTGTGTCTAATATGTTCCTTACCCTACACATTTAATCAGTAAATTGGGATGGTGGATCTGGTTTGTTCCTTGGTTTTCCATGTACAAGGCAGGCTTCTCCAGTCAGCTGAGGCCTGGGCTGGAAACATGGCTCACATGATGCCCAGCAGCTTGTTTTGAACCATATAGTGTATTATTTACCTACATTAAAAGGGTGGGGGTTAAACCTGTGTGACTTTGTGCTTTTTTGCACTGGTTTATGTTTGACTTTCACTTGTGTGGCATTCATCTGTACCCCTCTGAGGTCAGCCTGTTCCTAAAGTAACCCTCATGTTCTGTATCCTGTAGGCAAAGCTGAAGAAAGTATTTGATGCATGGCATAAACTCTCCACTTCTCAAAAGCAGGTATGTCAGTGGATTTGGATGAGGCTCTGATGTAATCAGAAAATGACAAACTTGAGTCAAAATTGATATATTCATACAAAATCTTGAACTTAAGTTGCTCAAAATATAATACTGAGGAAAATACTCTAAGATCTTCATGCATCTTGAAAAAGATTGTTACCTTTATTGTGGTAGTGACCATTTTATTCACAGTGTTGTTGAAATGTAAGCCAGTGGGATAGGATGGAAGTTCAGTGTGCCTGGTAGTGGATGCTGAGCAGTGTCTAGAGGGAAAGGTGGAATAATGTGCAACAGTCTGACTTTTTTCTAATAATACATAATATGTTTAAACACCATCATAATAATTTGCTGCTCATGGAAAGACTTTTGACAGGGAAAAGCATCAAATCTACAAATGATGTGCATAGGGTAATTTATTAACTTTGGTTGTCTGGGGGATTATTCTCTGCCAGCTTTCTCAGTATACTGAAATACAAATCTGCACATGGCCAGATGAAAAATGAGGGCTGCTATACTGAAATCTAATCTGAAAATGTCACAGTTTAGGTATTCTGTACCTTACTGTTCTTCCTCCCAAATGACCTTTGTCCAGATCAGTTTTGAGTGTGCTTAGGACACACCCTGGGTTCATGATCTTACTGTAGAAAAAAAATTGAAATAATTCTGCAGTGATATCTGTTCCTGTTCGTCACATAATCCACCTCTCTCAAACTAGTGCTCAAATAAAAAGCCTTAGCTGTTAGTAGCAATATTGAATAAACTTCTGCTTCAGGAGTGGGCAGCTCTTGATATAACCGTAATTTAGTGCTAAAGTTTTGTATTTTTCTGCAAGTTTGATTTTTTTTTTTTTAATTATCTGGAGGTGAACGCAAATACTTGGGCTGTGCCAGTGCCCAGGTGTTGTTCTAAGTCACCTTTGTGTCATGGCACTTTTCCAAAGCCCCTCCTGTAACTGTTGATGCCTTATTTTCCTCCAGCCATACCTGCAGCTTGCTGAAGATGATAAGGTTCGGTATGAGAACGAAATGAAGTCGTGGGAAGCAAAAATGGTTGAACTGGGACGTGAAGACCTGGTGCGTTCCAAAAAGAAAAGGCTAAAAAAGAAACCTACTGAAACTGCAAAGAAAGCTGACAGAGCCAGAACTTCCTTGGGTAACAAGGCAAAATTGAAGTTGAAAAAAACAGAAGAGTAAAATGGTTAAGTATTTTATATTTAATCCCTTTTGGTTGTCATGTCTCTATCCTGTTGCGTTAATGCTGCAGTCAGTGTTAGCACTGAAATTTGAAAGCCCTAAAGACCCTTGAAAGAGTCCAATGGAAAGGTGATCAGGTAAGAGAGGAGTCATTGTCTCTCAGAACTGACTGAAATAATCACTGCAGGTATAGGCTGAACTGTGGAACAGCAATCAGTTAATCAAGCTATGAATACTGATACTCACTGACATCAGCACAGCTCTCCAGTAATGGTAGATAACAGCCAGCTTTTATAAGATTTTTTTTTTATAAAAGAAAGAATATTCTACAACGTTACCATCTAAAATCTGTAAATAAAAGCTGAAATCTGAGTTAGTGATGCTGTGTTTTATTCCCTCCGTAGTATTGGTAGTGAAGACAAATGCTCTACATTTCAATAACAGGCACAAGAAATATACTAACTTTCATTTTATGCATCTGTCTTTTTGTACCTGTTAATTTGTGTATGTTACATTTAATTAAAGACCATATGAGTTTTGTATGAACATACCTTTATTGGACTTTTATTCTGTGGGGTTTTTATGGGTGCATAAAAACTTTTCCTTTGCTGTTGTCACATTTGGGACGGGGTAGAAGGAAAAGAAAATATGTGAACTGTTAGGCCTCTCTGCATGTCCTCCCTCTTCCCTGAGGCCCTAGAGTGTCACAATAGCCACTTGATTCCATGGGAATCTGCAGTGTTCAGTGTTCCATTGGTTATTACGTGAGGCCCCATATTGTCACAAAGGCACTGAAAGGAGAGAGGATCCCCTTTCCAAATGACTCAGTAAATCAGAAGTTTTAGCTTAGATAAAAATTAAATCCTAATCAACAAAGAGATTTGCTTTCTTGTCATAGTAGTGGTCTTTTCTTTTAAGACTACAATTAGTTTCAGGATGTAGAAGGTAGATGATACATGGAAACTAATAGAGAGTGTATCGTATGCCCACCTTCAAGAAATTAGCTTACATGCCTCAGAAAACTTGTTCAATAAGAGATTGTTCTGTTAAGAAGAAATTCATTTAAATATTGTTTAAGCTAATGGGAAGTCCTAGTTATCTTTAACCAGTGATGAATAGATGTGTCTTAGCTGGTCCTAGAACATTTAGTTTAGTGGTTAGGGCTCAGATGGATCAATCAGAGATGCTGGGAGGGCTGTCAAGCGAGAAGATCAGTCTGGGAAAATGACTGCCCCTCGCAGGAGAAATGGATGCTAGATGGCAGTCTTGCTCCACGAGTAAAATCCAAGATGCTCTTAGACCCCAAAATCATGACATAATTATAGATTGCTTGTGAAGGGGGGAGGTCTTTCAGGTATCACTGTATTTATATTCCAAAATCATCACAGGGACAGCAGTGATGTCATTGAGGACATGAATTCCACCCCTGGGGAATTGGGCCATAATTATGGGACGCCTGTAAAATCTCGGCTTTGGGAAAAGGTTGGGCAAGGTGTTAAAAAGGATGGTTTTGCCTGGGATGTTAGACGTGGGAGCAGGTGTCTCTTCCCAATACCCAAGAGAAGAGATCCCGGAAAGTTCCCCTGCCGGTTATATGTTAAGGAACAGGAAAAGAGAGCGAGGGTAAGGGGTTTCTTTCCTGGAGGGAAGGGCTGTCGTTCACTTGCAGGAGCCCTGCGCTGAAATTGCCAGTCCGACTCCCAAAATTGAATATGGACAAAGATTCCTGCCAGACAAAAGGTGCCAGGACAGAAAGCTCTTGCTTCCCACAGAGTACCCAGGGCGTCCCACCAGCTGCACTTGAGAGATTGATGTTATGTGCTCTCTTTCCTGGGGAAAAGGGCTGTCGTTCACTTCTCGGAGGCCTGCTCTGAAATTGCCAGTCCTACTCCAAAATTGCATATATATACCAAGATTCCTGCCAGCCTGTCAATCCACCTTGCAAAAGCACGTCCCTTCGGCGGGCTCAGAGGTTCCTGCAGTCGCTGGGTTCTTCTCTTTGTCAGCTCCAAGAAAGGAAACCAAAATCAATGCATGACTTTAGCAGCACATTGGCCAAACCCCAACCATTCTGCCACTCAGCATCTCCTAAGTGCTCTTAGGAGCACCATCTCCTAAGTGCTCTGCCACTCACCATCTCCTAAGTGCTCCAGTCCCTGGCTCTGGCTCTGTGCTGGAATTGGCAGTCTGACTCCCAAATTTGAATATGGACAAAGATTCCTCCCAGACAAACAGTGCCAGCACAGGAAGCTCTGTGTGTCCATGGAGTGCCAAGAGTGGCCCACACACTGCACATGAGAGACAGAGGGTAAGGGCTTTCTTTCCTGTGTGGAAACACAGTTTCCAGGACAGGGGTTAGAGCAACCTGGTCCATGGCGGGGAGTGGAACTGGATGATCTTTAAGGCCTGTTCCAACCCAAACCATTCTATGATGTAGCCCCTGAGACTTGATGATTGGGCTTGCACAAGCAGGAGTATCCAGAGGATGTGCAAAGCTTCGTGTCAGTATTCATTCAGGTCCTGTTTGGCCATCAATTTTTCAACACACATGATAACATCAGCAATGTCTTTGCTTACATGCTGGGATGTAACTACCAGGCTCCGCTTTGTGCTGGCTATCCTGTTACTTTGCTGAGCATCCTGATATTGAAAGCAAGATGTTGCATTTACCAGTATGATCAAAGCTAGCTGGAAATGGGAACAGGCTTCACAAACAAACACCAAAAACGGCCAGAAAAGCCAGTGCTGGGATCATCTTCCAGTTGCTCCTAATCTGTGCTGCCACCAAGAGCATCACTGTCTCTCATAGTGAGGATAGAGAACAAAGTCATGGGCGGTCCCAGGTGCTCTTAAACTGGTATTTAAATTGATATTCCTCAGATATAAGGGAATCATGGAGGCTTTCCTGACTCTGACATATGTGTCTTGTTATCCTTCAAACCACTGGTTGTGGCTCTGAGAGAACCAGCACTTGCTTAGAATTGAAATGATGTTTTACAAGCCTCAAGTACAGCTGAAGAATCTCGTGTTTCTCTCTTTGGAAGAGATATGTGAGTCCTGAGGCATTAGGCCAATGCTTGCTGCATTTTATTAACATTTTTACAATTAAACAAGGTGTTGATAAGATTGACAAGGAAGATATGACTCAAGAGCTTGTCAGACAGCAGCCTCTAAACTCTTTGGGCGATGCAAAGAGCAGCAGGGGTTGAAGAGTGTTTTCCAGCATGAGATTAATCAATAATAACATGCTCACTGACATAAAAGTCACTTCTTAAAAGCAATTTATTATTCATTGAAGTGCAGGAGGTAGAGTGTTTGACAGAGCCTCAGCAGAATGATGGAGAATATTCCTGTGTGATTTCTCCTTCTCTTATTGTGCCAGCAAGAGCAATCAATCATCTTTAGGTTTGGTTTTTTTTCCTCTGTGATCATCTGTAGTTTAGGGGAAAACAGTATCCAGAAGCATTAATTATTTAATCTACATTGCCTTTTTCCTCTACGTGGGAGGTCTTGGTACTGTGCTGGGAAATGGGGCCAATGGAATTTCTGGGAGTTGGACTTGGAGCTTGAGCGCTTTCTGTTTTCTTTTTTAGAGGTTAACACTGGAGACTCAGCTCCCTCTATGGTCAGAAGAGGGGGAGACACCTTCCTGCAGGATGTCTTTACAGAGGATGCTCTCGCAGAGTTGGATATTCTCTGTTTAGTAGTTGAAGTCTTGCCTCTTCCTAAAATTGTGGTGTAGATCCCACTTGAGGTGGTAAATCTCTCAAGTGTACGGGTCTGGGCCTACACACCTGCTAAGGTGTGACTGGAGATGTGAAAGAGTTTGTAAATGAGCTTTGAACAATCAGAATCACACAATCATTTAGGCTGGAAAAGACCTCCAAGACTGAGTCCAACCTGTGACCAATCCCCCACCTTGTCAACCAGACCAGAGCACTGAGTGCAGAGGGATGTGGAGATGGGATTTTGGGTTTGCATCCCCACCTGCTGGCCACACGTGGGTTTGGATGCTCCTTAGCAGAGCTGTGAGGTATAACATGGGCAGCAGCTCCTCCTCTGTTGCTTTGGGGGCTTAAATTGAAACACTCAGAAGCTCAGTCACCTCTGAGCTGCTCTGCTGGGAGCAGCAGAGGAAGGGACACCTCCAAAGGCCACACAGCCTATTCATGGTCAGGAAAATCTTGCTGCTGAATCTTTTCCATCAGCTGCAGATCACACTGCTCTGATCCCAGGCACTTCAGGGAAGTGGCATAAATCCATGCTGTGGTTTCTGTGCCACACAGACAGCAAGGAGCATTATACAGTTGTCTCAGGCTAATTCCCACCACGGGGCTGTGGAGAGTAGTTGGTTGTCAACAGACTTTGTCAAGGGACCATAAGTGCTTCTGCATGTCCATACACCAACACAGTGGTGGCAGCTGTGGCTGTGTTATAGGACCAGGTCCCCTGTGAGGCTTGGAGATAGTAAACTGGTATTTGTGAGGACATGCAGAAGATGGTAGAATATGGTTTTACAAGATGGGGCTTAGCTGTATTCCAGGCACCCGTCTTGCAATCAGCTTTCTCGGGGTGATTCTCCCATGCTGGGGCTCAATTTACTGTGCAATATGGGATAGCCAATATTTTATTGCTCTGTTAGTGAATATGTTTGTTGTCAGCGTGCGAGAAAAAAGAAACAAAGATGAAAATTCTTTGGCATTTACGTGACATTGGAGAGGATTTGGGGCCTGTTTGGTAACAAGCAATCTTTGGTAACAAGCAAGGCTTTTAATTTCTGCTTGCTTGCTTGCTTGCTGTGCTGTGGGGTTTCTGTTTTGAAGGGAGAGGTTATTGCCTCTCTCTCCTGCCTCCAGAGCGGAGCTAGAAAGTTCTTCATTGACAAGCAGCTCTGAAGAAATCAGTGGGAAACCAATTGCAACACTGAAGGAGTTGAAATTGCAAACATCACTACAGTCACTCTGAAGGCAGCACCACGAGGTACTAGTTGCAGTAATGCAAATCCTGTTGGAAAGGTGCCTCTG